TGATTACGAAATTTATCTTCGTGACCACCAACTCCGTAAGAAAATAAAACTGGAAACGCGGTGGGTAAAAGTGTTAGGTGAGATAAAAAATTACTATGCAGTGACAGAATATCAAGATCGTGGAACACCACACTGTCATATGTTGATTTGGCTCCATGAAGCCCCTAACCCTGTTGAAATACGAAATCATCTTCGATATAATGAGGATTTCAGAATACAGTTGATGAATTACGTAAATGAAATTGTAAAAGAAGATATTGGTTATCTTTTTTCTAATGGTAATTACATGACTGATGAAATGTTGAACACTGAGTATAAAATACAAAAAACAATGTTGGAAAAAAAAATGCACCCATCATTTTTATCAATCCCAGACCCTCGATCTCCTACTTTTGATGAAGATTTTTGTCTTGACGTTCTTGCGATTGCAAAATGCACACTAGTTCATAGGTGTACTAAGTCATGTAAAAAATATTATCGTAGCAGGATATCAAACTGTTGTTTTAATTTTTCTCATGAATTAGTTGAAGCACCAGGAAAAATTTATCCGGAACTAGGAATTATCGTTCTTCAACGCTTTAACGCCTATATTAGGCCAGACTAATTTAATTCTTCGTTTAACATAACCCCTCCCTATTTTTTAAATTTTATATGAACACAATACTCATTAATAGTAATTAATAGTATTTACCCCCCTCAATTTTTTAAATTTTATATAACTAATACATGTTAAATCAACCAATAAAATTGCTAGTTTTTTTAATTTGTGTATTTTTCATACCCTCCCCCTCCTCTTATGAACCATTTGATGTTATGTTAAACGAAGAATCAATTTGGAGTGGCCTTAATAATCATAATCCCTATATAACTACTAGCTGCCGTTGTAATAATGATATTAGATTTATAGCAACTGTTAAATTGGCATTAGCATATATTCATTATATCACAGACTATATAACTAAAACTGACATGAATACTCATAATTTGTTTCTTATGTGTACCATGACTTTAAATAACTTCATGATTAAAGTATCGATGAACTATCAAAAAAATATATAATAAGATCACGGCGGTTAGTAACGATGTGTTTTAATAAAATTATAAGACAAACAGAAATGACTGGACCTCAAGTCTCAGCTTACCTCCTAAACATCAGTGATCACTACATGCCAAATAAATTTGTTTCACTCTACCTTAGTTCTTTCGAAATATATTTAACTTCACAATATCCGATAGAATATTCATCTAAATCAATTATTTTAGATGACCAAAACAGTAATAACACTGATAGTGAAGAAGAATCTTGCCAAGAAAACAATATTATTAATGACGAAATGTTTACAATAACTAATTCTGGAAATAGGATAACTGCTGTTAACTTAAGAATTGACTATATGTATCGTGGAAAACAATTAGAAAATATGTGCCTTTATGATTACGCTGCAACAATACATAAAATAAAAATAAATGACAAAGAATTAAATAAACTCACTAGGCAAAAAAATCATGAAGGTCGAGCAACAAGGGTAGATAGATTTCTTTTTTTAGGTGGTGAAAAGAAATGTAATGAATTCTGTAGTCATAACACAATACATTTACAACATTCAACACATATACAAGTTCATTGGTGCCGAGAAAGTGAAAAAATATCTGTACTATATAGAAAAAGAATACTACGCAAGGATGACTCCCAAAATACAGAACGTTATAAACTTTGCATCCTCTTACTTTAAACCATAGACAACTGCAAATGACCTCATATTAGAACATGATTCGTGGCATGAAGCATGTAATAGTTTCTTACAAAGTCAAGAATTATCTCCATGATTACGATCGATAATAGATAATATTGAACTCTTACATCGATGTGCGGAAGAGACAGAATTAGATCGTCAATTGCGTAAAATATCTTTGAAAAATCTAGAATTCATAAAAATCCAACGAATAGAGAGATCAGTAGTTGGTTATGAAATTCCCAATGATGATATAGATATGCTAGATGACCAAAGTGAAAATGATCTTAACATCAATAACTTAACTTTAGATCCGTATATGATAATGCGTTCTGGTCTAAATAATACAAAATTTGTTGATGATACAATGTTCCATTTGTATCTTAATAAAAAGTTTAATACGGAAAATAAAACAGTCTTCCAAAATGAAACTAGTAATTCGTATAATAATGACCAAATAAGACCTTCTAATGAAAATGACGATTATCTAATTCGACAATAGTAAGAAACCATAGCATCAAGGAAAAAAAATAAACAATACAATCTCTAATAAAATTCATATGTCAAAATTCTTTACACATACTCCTAACTCACAGACAATATTAAATCGAATAGACCCACTTCAAAAAATTTTAATTGATCTTAATGATGAACAGAAAAAAGCTATTTCACTCATTTGTGACCATCGTGTACGAAATTATCCTAATAACTCTAATAAACCATCTCAATTATTAATGTATTTAGGCAGTGCTGGAGGCACTGGAAAATCAAAAGTAATTAAAGTGATTTGTGAATACTTTAAACAAACTAATCAAGAAAAAACTCTTGTCGTGTATGCTCCTACTGGCTTTGCCGCATCTAATATCGAAGGCTCTACTCTTCATTCATTATGCGGATTCAAATTTAGTGAGGATGATGATTACAATGATTATAAATATAATTTTCTGCGTAGACAAATAAAAAAAATACTTCAAGACCGTTAGACGAGTATAGAGTACCTTATTATAGATGAAATTTCTATGACAGGACAAAAGCTTTTAACAAGATTTCATGCATATGTTAAAGAAGAAAACATCTAGAAAATGATACTACATCTTTTGCTGGTCTAAATAT